GATGGAGGCTGCAGTGAGTCGAGATTGTGCCACGGGACTCCAGCCAGGGCAACAGAGTCAGACTCCGTCTCAAAAAAAAAAAAAAAAAAAGAAGAAGAAGAAACTAATACAAATAAAATAAACCTTATATTGAATGGTGATAAGTACTATGGAAAAACGTACAACAAGCGAGGGTATGGATAGTGTCAGAATCTGCTCAGGGTAGTTCTCACTGTAGAAATGACACCTACAAAGACCGAAGGAGGTGAGCAAGGGAATCATAAGAACATCTAAGGAAAGAGCATTTCAGAAGAAGGACTGTCATGGGTAAAACCCCAGAAGCAACAGTATGGCCATTCTTTGTGAGGAACAGCAGGATGGACTCTGTCTGGAGCAGAGTGAGCTAAGGAGAAGGCAGTGAAAGCCAGGTCAGAGAAGCAGCTTGTGACCAGGTGATATAGGACTCAAATGCCATTATGAAGAGGTTAGTTTTTTACTCTGAGAAAGACTTGGCTTTGCAGTTTTAAGCACAGGAGGGACCTGCTCTAGCACCCTAATTTTAATGGGACCACTCTGTTGTGCTGAGAATAAACGGCTGGAGAAGCAGGGAGCCTTGTTTGGAGACCATTGCAATCATCCAGATGAGTGATTATGGACCAGATGATAATGCTGGAGGTGGTGAGAAGTGGCAAGATTCTGATGTAGATTAAAGAGAGCCTGACCAGGATTTTATCTGGCATTGGATAGGGAATGTGAGAGAGAGGAGCTGATGGTGATACCAAGGTTTTTGTCTGAGAAATTAGACAGATGGAGACTATTAAATGTTGGCGAGATGAAGTAAGGAAGACTTGTGTCTCTGAGATGATTAAGTTAAATTTCATACCTATTAGGTGTCTAAGTAGAGACATCTAAAAGGCAGTTTCTACAAGATTCTGCAGATCTAGGAAGAGGTTTAGCCTCAGGATATAAACATAAGACTTGTCAATGTATAGATGCTATTTAAAACCATGAAACTGATGAATTCACCAAGAAAGAAAAAGGTCCAGGCATTGCATCCTGAGACACCCCAAAGTTAGGAATCCAGGGAGATGGGAAGATAACAGCAAGTGGACTGAAAAGAGCAAACAGAGAGTTAGGAGGAAATCCAGAAATAATGGCACAGTGGAAGCCAAGTGGGAGAGTGTACACTGGAGGAGGGAGTGAGCTGGTGTATGCCTTGCAGCTCAGAATGCATAGAAAATGAAGCTTGGAAATTGAACCATGACATTTGGCAATATGGAGACTATTAGCAGTACTGACAAAAGCAGTTTCAGTGACATGGTGAGAATGAGAGCCCTGGCCAGGCGTGGTGGCTCACGCCTGTAATCCAAGCACTTTGGAGGCCAAGGCGGGCGGATCACCTGAGGTCGGGAGTTCAAGACCCGCCTGACCAACATGGTGAAACCCTGTCTTAAAAAAAAAAAAAAAAGAGAGAGAATGAGAGCCCTGCTGGAATGAGTCGCAGAGACAACAGGAAGAGAAAAATTGCAAGTAGAGAATGCACACAGCTTTTTCAGGAGTGTGAGGTTTTTTTGGTTTGCCTTTTAATACTGAAAAGAAGAATTCAGGTGGTAATTGGAATGGAGGAAGTGGAGCAAGACAAGCTTTTGGGGTATTTGTTTTGTTTTAAAAGGAAAAGACAACAGTGTTTGTGTATGCTGGCAGAAAAGCTCCAGGAGAAAATGGGAAATGGAAAGAGTGAAAAGAAAACTAGAATAGTGAGAGACTTGGTGAGCAGTTTCCATGAGTAGGCGCAATTGGATGAGATCTAGTGCAGAAGCGGGTGGGTTAGGTTTACACTCTGCTCCACAAAGTGCTTAACATGGTGCTTATCACATCAGAAAGGCTCAAAACTAGCAGATGTTAAGCCACTGATTGTCAGTTAAAAGGGTTTGACTAACGTGATCTTATAGCTCCAGTGCAGGTACAGCATTCCGTACATTAATGAAAAGAAGATGAATAGAATCCTGACAATGAAATGAAAACAGTTGGAAGCAACATTGAATCACATTGACTAGTACCTAGATATTGTTCTAATGGTAGAGAGATACCTGAAGAGAATAGAAAGAATGATAGGTTTTTGTTTACATTTAATTCATGGGATGAGTCTGCCGGAACCAGGCTCTCACATGGTACTTGACTTGTTACAGATGCTCAATGGGTTGATCAATGAATTATCTTGCCCTTTATAAATTCAGCATGATGAAAAGCCCATGGCTCTTGCCTCACAAATATTGCATGACATAATGTAATTTCCATGCACTACTTTTCATATCATTTCACTAATTTTCACTGATTCATGAGGGCTGAGCAGTGGGGCAGAGCTACAATAGGGAACCAGACAAGGGAAGGTGAGTGGTAAAAGCACATCTGCCATTTCCACTGGAAAGAAAAAGGAACTTGGAGCAACTGCAATCTAAATTGTGTCCCAAGCATGAACGCAGCTCTATGAATACACACCACGTACTGAAGGAACTACATCATAGTTATGAAATATATCTCAGCCAATATGGAGCTTTAGGAAATCATTTTTTGTTATTTAATTCTAATATCCTTTTGCTCTTATAATAATTATGCTTCACTGAGGTATGACAGGTAACAAATTTCAATGCATCTTAATTCTTCACGGTTTCAATATAAATTTGGAGCTGTGTTCCTTTAAAAATAGACTTGAGCCCCCGGGTGAAAAAGTGTACTTAAGACTGTAGCAAGCAATGTGACAACATAATATTACAGAAAAAGCAACTTTCAAAAACATCAATAAAAATGCTAAAAATCCTAATTTTACAATGGCAAACGCAAAACCAACTTACCAAAAGCATTAAAAATTCAGGAAAGCCTTAGAAACCCACTAGGGTGATCTACCTCCTTCTCTTTCACAATTTTCCTAACCCAAAAATTATAATAACAAACTTTATAAAAATTCTTTTCAATTTAGTTTTGACTTGACTCAAGCCACTATTAATTAATCAAGAATTATCTTTTACATTTTTGCATGTTTCAAATTGTCAAGTTTAGTTACTGGACTCTGCTCAGTAATTTTAGTGCATATGATGCTGTCCGTTGAAGAGAAAATAGCAGATTGAAATATCTAAGGGGCCCTGTGGCTGGAATGTGTGCCCACTGCATTGAACTATTGATTGACAATTATATAAATGCCCACCATGGCTTGATCAACCTGTCAATTTTCTTATCGTAGAGTTAAACTACCCCCGTAGCCTTTTTGTAAATAAAATCTTATTGTAACACAGCCACACTAATTGGTTTGGGTATTGTCTGTAGCTGCTTCTGCAAAGCAAAACTGAGTACTTGTGAGAGACATAGCCCACTAAACTTAAAATATTTACTACTGGTCTTTTACAGGAAAAGCTTGCCCACCGTTGGTTTAACTAATGGCTGGCATACTTCTTAGCAATGTTTGTTGAACCATATTTATAAATCCAAATGCTAACGATAGAAGGAATCACAGTGCCGACCAAATCGTCACCTAAGCGTACCCAACTTCTATAAACATAGGGTGTGTTGTCCTTGAAAATTAAATTTCTATAATTTTTATCAATTTCTTACATTCAGAATGTATTAAATGAATTTCTATTAAATAACAGGCACCTCCATGTCAAGTAAACTTTCTTTTTAAATTGTCATGAAAAGAAAATGTTTCCAAGTGCTTCTATCAAAATGCAAACATTTGAAATGCACTTTTGCCCCTCTCCAGTCTATGATTTTTATAATTTGTTTCTGCCCGATTCATATTTACACATCAAAACCTCCTACCTCTCTTTACCCTATCATTAAGAGCTTTGGGAAATATAAAAGGATTCTTAAAATATTAGCTATTCTTAAATTATTGTCGTTTATCTTGAAATGTCAGTGGGCAGCTTCTTTCCAATACTACTATATAGACACATGTATTTACTGAGCTGAATAATCCTCCAGTTGGTGGTATTTGTTTTCACCATTGATTTTTAGAGTCCTAATTTTTGTCTGTCCTGAAGAAGAATCTAAACATTTAAATTCTTTTAACAGAGTATGTTTATAGTTGCTGTACCTTAGACAACTTATATTTAGAAAAAGAAAATTTCTAATTCAATTTACAATGATGTCAAGAAACTACACATATCTGCAGGCAAAGATAAGACAAACATTCAGGGGTACATAGTGATAGCTCTACTTAAATAAATAAAGTTTTGATACTAGTGATTAGGTACACTGGATTATTATATGTTTAATTGGCTAACGTGACAATTTGGAATTACTTCTAGTCACATTTAATTGGATTTGGAATCTCTGGCGAAAAGAAATAGAGAGACCTAGCAGAGAAACAGTCGTAAAAGTAAACTGTTTTTCCAAAGGGTACCAAGTAATGAATTAATATCCATTGCACAATAGCTTTTAATATCCCCTCAACTTAATAAGACTAATGCAGCAATTGTACACACTAGACACTAGAATCAATTCAATTACACACAAAGTTTGGGGGAGAGGATTCTTCCTTGAATTGGAGATTTTATATTTTCTGTTTTCAGAAGGCTAATTTACTCAGCAGTGAATAAGGTTTAACTGAGGTCAAATCTGACATATGCTTAAATACCAATCTAATAGGTAGCTATATATGCTATGCTAGATTTGAAGACCTAAAAGTTCACAAAATCTGTGTCACTTTATAAGTGCTTTGAAGCTTAATACAGGGCAATCAAAACAAAACATTCTCTCATAATCTTCATATTTCTTATACTGTATAAATTTTTAAAACCATCTAGAAGACAAATAGCTTATTGCTTCTCTTTTATAGTTTTAGTTTATATACACCCCCAAAAAACCCTAGTTTCAACATTCTAAAATGTGCTTTGTGTTTTGCTTAATATTAGGCTAGACAAATTTATACATTAAAAATTATCTTCCTCAGGATTTGTATATACTGCTTATTATGGTTTTCCTTCTGTTCTATACATTTGTTTTTATTTTAAATCTGTCCTTCTTAGGAGTGCCATGATTGCTGACTACATGTTCTGGCTTGGTGGAGGAAGTGAACAGAGCATAAGCAAGCTCATCAAACTGTATTGGCAGGTAAAAATGGATGTGCCAACTAGGGAGGAGAAGCCCATCTTATTTTTAGAGCCAAAACGAAAGATTGGTGCTTAGAAAACTGCAGAAAAAGGTAGCTCTGGGCCTATCAATCAGAAGGAAGCTACTGAATAATAATGTATCCATAAGGAAGTAGATTTTCTAAGACTAATTCTAAGGGCAAAATTCAAGGTTGTTAACCTGTGGCCCATACTTTCGTTTTACAACTCAATATAAATTTTAGAGATCCCAGGAACTACTTTTCCAGGCATGCTGCTACGACCCTTTAAAGTATGAACATTGTATTTTCATAGATTCTTATTGATCTATGGCCTGTAAAAACAGATACTTGAAGTAATGTTAATTACATAATGAAAGAAAAATGGAAAGATCAGATGTATTTGTTTACAATTTACTCTTTGAAACACTTAGCCAATAGCAAATTTCGGATCTTGTTTCTCATTTATTATTCAAAATGGCAGCAAGAAGTCATCCCAAAGGTCAACCAGATGCCAAGAAGCAAGTCCTAATTTCTTAGAATTGTAAGAAAAATTTTGGATTTATTAGCTCAGTCTCATTTATAATACATGAATCTCTTCCTGCTTTACCCACCCCCAACAAGCTGTCAGTAAGTTTCTGATTAAGTATATCCAAAATGAAGAGCTCACTTAACCACCACAAAAGTAACATCCAGGTTGCTATTAAAGTGGTTTCCTCATTTAAAGTGAATTTCTACTCCCTTAAAAATTCCATCTCGTTGTTTCTAGTGAGTCCTCATGAAAACCCATTTCCAGTGAAATTGTTATAAATATTTGAAAATCGACTACAAAAGCCAACTGTCTCCTGCATGTCTCCTCTTCTTCTACCGTATGGAGCTACTTCTTTGTATTTTGAGATGGTTTCATCTAATTGAATACAAACCCTTTGAACCAACCCGAATAAGATGTTCTAAGCCACTAATTGTAAAGTAAGAAATAATCATCAGTAGGCTTCTCAAGCTTCCTGGGTCTTTTTTTTTTTTTTTTTTTTACCACATTTTCACTACTGTGTCTTGGCCCCTAGTTTTTTGTCTCTCTGTATCATATGTTATCTTTGTTAGACATTAAAGTGTTAAGTTTATCATACTCAATTTCCAGTAACTCACATGGTTCTGTCTATCTGGAGATTAATTTATCTTCTATTAAAAAAAAAAAAATTAAATTAATCCCACTATACTTCAGTTCCGTGATTATTTTTAAATGAAAAAACAAAAGTTCATCTCCAGGTAGACAAAATTTTAATCCCAAAACAACCTATTACTTCTCTGATAATTTTAAGACTTTCCTAAGAGAATCTGGAACATACAAACAGTAGTAATTGCTGATGAACATGTAACTATGCAGTTGTTAAAAAATGCCAGATGGGAAAAATAAGCAAATAATATGGCTATAGATATACAAAGAGGACTTTTAATAAAGGATTTTGGAGGCTTTTATAAAGGATTTAAGAGAGGTGAGAAAGGAGTTGTGAATCTTGAGGATTGGAAAATATTCAGTAGGCCTGGCTTATACCAGGTCCCCAGCAAATGCTTGACTTAATTTATTCATTAAACAAATATATCTGAGTACCTGTTGTGTTTTCTACATTGAACTAAGAAAATAACAGATCCAATATCATCATAACCTGAGACAAAGTAAGACCCTGGGAGTTTTGTAAATAAGAATTTTGTCTGACCATGTTGTGGTTCACGAGCATGATAATTCAGTTTTTACACTCACGTGTGAGACATGCCTCCTTCAAATCTTGTTATCATGTCAGCACATTACCCATCTGATGTGAAAAAACCCTTTTCTGTTTCCTTTAGCTCTCAGAGAACATTCATTATCCCTATTTTATTTACCTCAGACTAGGAAAATAATCTCCACTTACCAATGCATGCATGTTTGCAATACAAAAAGGGATTAATTTAATATTTTACTATTAAGCAGTAATAAAAGATAAAAAATAGTCCTCTTTGTATTCTCTTTTTCCTGATTGGAAGTAACTTGGTACAAGGGAAAAGAGCTCTTGTTTGGAAGTGAGGTCTGATTTGGTACAAGTCCTAATACCAACCAGATACTGACTTAGGGCAAGTGGGTCTCTGGAGGAGCTTCAGCTGGAAAGCGAGGATGGCTGGAATAAAGTGTTTGAGAAGGTTTATTCTTAAAGCCCATTTTAGCACTAAAATCTTATCCAAAATTTAGGCACCTCCAAAAATGATGTCACAAATTTTGAGGGAAAAGGAAGCAACATAATTAGAAATCACTTCCTGCCGATAAATTCTATAAATTAACACCGTCTATCAAGTCCCAACATCAGCACGCCACACCGATCGCTCACCCATTATATAGTTCCTCCTGCTAATCAGCTTCTCCCTGATCTTGATTCAAATGTATACATTTGAATCCCTAAACCTTGTTCTGTCCTAAATCAGAAGGGGGTTTTTAAACCTTGCCAAGGAGTACCAAGTCTATGCCATCTTTAAAGATATATATGCCCCACTACCCAATCTACCCGAGCAGTTTCACTGATGACTTCCAGAATGTCCCCAGACATCGCAGACTGGAGACTATATCTGCATGCACTTTGTAGGCATCCGTGAAGGTTAAATAGACAGGCACTAGTTTCACCAGCTTTATAAGAAGTTACATTACTGTATATCTTCCTTTCAACCATATAAAATCCATACCCTTTTAGTTGGTTATTCTTCTTAGAGGACTTAACAGGAAATGGAAAATTTCAGAATGTAAAAATTAGAGAACAAGTCTATATTTGCTCTTATAGATGGTTGACTTACAAACTCTCAGATGCAAATGAATGGACCTTTGCCTTGGTGAACCCAAGAACCTTTCGATTGCATTAGAACGTTTTTCATATCATCAACCCAGCAAGGAAAAGAAAGGCATAAAGCGCTATATTATATGACAGCTCACACTGGGATATATCACTTTGAATAAGTGTTCGCACATGTTATCCTATAATAGTGTCACCTCTTCAGAACGAGAGAGGGTTGAAAATAACATGTCATGACTGTACCTGCATGCAACGCCTCTGCAGCCCAATACCCAGGCATCTGTAATCAGCCATTCTCCTTGAGAACACCTGGAGAACTCACCACAATTCTGAACTAATTAGCAAAATAGAAAGTAGGAAGTCGTGCTGAGAATAAGCTGTATTTGAAACAGCTTCCCTACAGTATTTGTGTATTGGTCCTACACCCATTTTATTACAAGTAGAACTTTATATTAAAGTCTAGTCCACTTCTCCCTGCTCCTTAGACCAGGGCTGGTTTTAAAAACATGAGGAAAACAAACAAGCAGGCTTCCTGCATCTGCTGCTTCCCTATCCTGTTCTGCTGCGTTCACTTTCAGCCACATTCTGAGCCACAAAGCTTTTCATGTGTGTATCTTTAACTCATGTCATGTGACTGACAGAGCCAACCCTGGTCTGCCCTGCTCAGCAAAGTGAAGTGAGAAAAGCTAACAGCTAATTATATCACGGAACTCCCACAAAACAAGTGCAGAGGAACCCCACTAAACAGGGGCATGCTGCCTGATCAGCTCATCCCCTGCCTTAATGGTTCTTCCTTCCGTTTTTTATTTTTAATTTTTTGAGCTATAGAACCCTCTGAGAATCTAATTCATTACAAGCAGCAACCTAGAGAACAATACTCATAAACACATACACACAAAATATGTGCTTACTTTTTATCTCGTTGGATTGGAAATTGAGCTCCTATACATAATCAGAATACCAAAAGAGCATTCACAGAAAGGTATGGTTTTCTCACTCTTGTGAAAAGGCTTTTGTAGTTTTTCTAGATTGAGGAATTGAAATATTTCGTATTGCATCAATGTCAACATTTCATTTTAATGCCAATAACAGGAAAGATCCTGATTCACAAAGTCTCTACCGGCAAGTGGAGTCAGAGCTCCAGGACTACACAGTATCTTTGATGGGTCAGCATGAATCAAGAATTACCAAAATTCTCAACTTAAATTTGTAAGACGTCATTTCCTTTGTCCTCAAGTAAATGAGGTCATCTCTGTTAGGCTTAGATCATCAAGGCTATCTATGTCAGCAATTTGTTTCCATTTTAAGGCTGTCTGAACAAAAAGTGACCTTCATGAGAGATAAGCCACTTGCCAAGTGTCTGTTAATTTTTGTCCCCAGAAACTCAAGACTTCGCCAGTCTCACTTTCAGCGTTGGAAAATCCATACTGTTATTTGACTTCAGTCGCCTCATTTAGAGTAGCTGCTTGGACAAAAAAAAAAGCTTACAGTTTTTTGGCAGCATCTCTAATAGTAACTTCAGCATTTTCAATCAAAAGATTTGTTTAATTTATGTGCCTAAGATATCAGCCATTAGAGAGCTAGTCCTGGAATTTCTCGCCATCAAGTTATTCTAAGAAGGAGTTTTCTTTTCTCTTAAAAAATTGTAAAAAATTAACCAAACTAAATCACACGTAAATCTCTTCTCTGGATTGTCAACAAACTTCTCTAAAAGGAAAGAACCTCATGGTGTGCTCTTGTATCTTAACAAAGATCTACTGAAAAGGCACTAATTCAAGCTCTTGGCTCTGAAGAAGTTGAAGACTTTCACAGCAGTAGAAAGACCTCTTTTGGATTGTTGGAAGGGCTGTTGACACCAACACAGGCCCGTGTAGAAAGCATGACATGTGGAGCATCTTTCTTCAGTGAAGCAGCAGAACTGAGGCAGTGCCAGCTTCACAGGTCTTCCATCTGTGCAGAGAACACCAAGACTTCCCATCCAATTCAAGTTGCACTTGGCATTGAAATGTTTCCCATCTCAAAGCTATCAATGGCCTACATGCTTTCCAAAGGCAGCTTACCAAAAAGAAATATCTCTTTGGTGTGATTAGTCCTACTCTCAAGGGACAAAACCAGAAGCTGGCTGAACTGAGAGACAAAAGATTTTCCACAGCCACATGCTCAAAGATGGTTCATAGTTCGTGGGTCCCTAA